AGATCAATTCATTTTGCCCTCACCCTCACCTTTGCAGCGCCGTTCGTGACCAAAAAATATTTTCGATGTTGCGTTTTTCGGCGAAGAGCATACATACCGGGTGATCTTCTTCCATACCCGTACCCAGACTTACTACCATGGAAAAAATTAAAACACATCATACATTGTAATTCGATGGAATTTGAAGGATTTCACTTTTCGGTATGTTTTACCTGCTATCAATAAAATCAAGTTTTGAAGGTAAAGATCTACTTCAACAAAAAAAAAATGTCAAGAAGCTTACAGAACATGTAACTTTTTAGTGATTGTTCTATTTTATTTTAAGTTTAATGCAAACCACTTGGTTATGAAATGCAAAATATTGGAAGGAACTTAAATTTATTTTTGCGTTGAAAAAAGTTATTTTAATTATGAGAAACCTATATAGACAGATAGAATCCTGTCCAATAATATATCATGTAGCTAGTCTAGCATATTATCTATATCAACATTTGAATCAGGTCTATATCTTTTAGCATGAAAGAAAATTTGATAAAAGATCGCTTAAATTTTTGTCGCTGACTGTATTTAATTCAGAATCATTTACAATAAACTGAGCAATTAACATTAAAAATTTAAAAGACAAAAACGAATCTATTAAAATGAGTTCAATCTCATTTTTTAAGATGTTGAAAGAAGTTTTGCACGAATTCTATAATAGAAAATTAATTACATCGTTCAAACGTAAATTAAAACTAAGTAATAAGATTAAATTACCTTCATAATCTAATTTACCATCTTTATTTACATCAGCCTAAAGAGAATCAAGATAAAACAAAATTATTTTTATTTATTTATGTATAACAGACCTCTCTCATCATATCTTCTAATTCTTCTTGATTGAGTTTTTCACCCATATTAAGCATGACCTTAAAAATCAAGAAATAAGATTATTAAATAAGGAGAAAATACCTAATTTCTGAAAAAAAAACCTCTTTTAATTCATTGATAGTTATATAACCTGAATTATCTCGATCAAAAAGTCGAAATGCTTCACGCAATTCAGCTTCTTGATCACCTTCATTCCAATGTTTGTTCATAAATGCCACAAACTCTTGAAAATCTAAATTTTGATTACCTGAAACATAATTTACAATAAAATTCTTAGAGAAATAAACTAACTCATCATATTTACCATTTTTATCTACTTCAGCAATTAGGTCAGCAATTTCTTTATTCGTTGGATTTAATCCTAATGAACGCATTACTTGCCTAAAATATGATTGATTACAATATAAAAGAAAATCAATTGTTCTTTTTTTCGTATTAACTTCGCAATAAAAACTTTCTTTTCATATCGAAATAGAAAACTTGCTGCTAAAAAAATGTATTTCATGTAGGCAAAAAAAGTCCTAGAAATACGAAAACAGCATCTTAGGAGACTTCCTCACAAGTGACTACGTTGTTTGACATGTGTTCATAAAGTACTCGGCTTAAAACTCGATTTTACTAGCTAGAAAATGACCATAGGCAAGTCAATAACGACCGATAACATGCTAGCTATGTTGTGACATATATC